GATTTATCTATTTCTCTAAATAATCCCATCAGTTATTACTTTATGTGTTTGGAAGCTATATTGTTATGGTTATATTTTCCTGATTTATTGTTTCTTTTATCAGTATATAACATTATTTGCCCCTTATGTTTTGTCTTGAATTATATTTTGTCTCATATTACTATCTGTCAGCTCAGTTTTCTTGTGGTTCATCTTTTCCTGGAATATCATTTTCCATTTCTTCAAAAATTTTGTATAGTAGTTATGCATTTATGGCCATGAGTAAAAGTCTGCTGTAATTTTACCTTCTCATACCATCTTTGTTTGGATTTGCTAATAAGTTATTTATCCTCATAAAATGAGTTGGGAACTATTCTCTCTTTTTCTGTCTTTTGAAATAATGTGTTTAAGGTTGGCCTTAGCCGTCCCTTAAATGTTTGGTGAAAATGTCTGAGCTGGGAGCATTCTTGGTTGGAAGATATTTTTTTTTAACTGACTTGATTTCTTTGATGGATTATTCAGGTTTTCTTATTCTTGAGTCAGTTTTTGGTTGTATTTTTCTAGGGAATTTTTAATTTGAATTTCCAGGTAAATTGGCATAAAGTTGTTTTATTATATTCATGTTAGCTTGCTTTTTAAAAACTCTGCTTTCTTTTTATTAAGCTCTAATTCACATTTTGAAAATTCACCATTTTAAAGTATACAACTTAGTAGTTGTATACACATTACTTCACAAAATTGTGCAACCATCACCTCCATCTTATTCCAGAACATGTCCATCATTCCAGAAACTAACCCTGTATCCATTAGCAGTCACTCCCAATTCCCCACTTTACCCTGTCCCTGGCAACCACTAATCCGCTTCCTGCCTCTATGAATTTGCATATCCTGGACATTTCATATAAATGGACTCAAACAACATGTGGCTTTTTGTGTGTCTGACTTCTTTCACTTAGCATATGTTTTCAGGGTTTATCCATGTTGTAGCATGTGTCAGCACTTCATTCCTTTTTATCACTGAATAATATTCCACTGGATGAAAATACCCTATTTGTCTATTCATTCATCAATTAATAGATATTTGGGTTATTTCCTGTTTTGAGCTATTATAAATAATGTTGCTGTGAACATCTGTATACAAGCTTTCGCGTGAATGTATGTTTTTATCTCTTTTGATATTGACATTTACGTAGAAAACCAAAAAGATCCAGCTAACAGATATAATCAAGTCACTTCAGTAAGATTTCCGTCAACAAGATCAGCATACATAAACCAAAAGCTCCCTTCTTCTCTAGGAAAAATGAGCTAGACAATATAAAAGAAAACAAGCTATTATTTAAAATAGCAACAAAAATCTAGTGTCCAGATTTTACCTTACAAAGAATGCACTGGTGCTGTGCGGAGAAAAAATTTAAACTATTAAAGAATATAAAAGATATGAATAAATGGATAGGCATATCATGATCTTAGAAGGAATAACTTGATATTATAAAGATGTTAATTATCCCCCAATCCATCTATACATGTAATGCAGTTTTATACCAGGCAGCATTGTCGGAGGGAACTTGACAAATTGATTTCTATACATTACATAGAAGAATCAAGTTCTGTGATTGCTAAGATAGTTTCGCCTTGCTAGATATGAAGATATGTTACAAAGCCTAGTCATTAAAATAGCGTGGTCCTGGCTCAGGAATAGTCGAATGAACTTTAAAAACAAAACGAAACAAAAATATAGACCTAAGTTTATATGAGAACTAGTAAATTATTGAGGTGTCATCATAAATCTCCAGGAAAAAATGAATTATTTAGTAAATGGTGCTGAGAAAAACTGATTCAATGCAGGGAGAAAAATAAAACATTTCTTACCTTACACCATATAAAAAATTCCACATGAGTGAGATCTAAATGTAAAAGGTGGTACTACAAAGTTAATAAACATGTAGAGGAATATCTTCATGTCTTTAGAAGGGAGATCTATCTCTTAGACAATACTCTACAAAAAGCACAAACCAAAATAAGAAAAATTATCTCCTTGACTACAACAAATTTAAAGATTTTGATCCAAGGAAGAACATCACAGAAAAGAGTAGGATTGGTGGCAGACTAGGGGGAAAAATTGCAACATCTGAAACCAACAGTGAATTTATATCTGGAACGCACACGAACTCCCATGAAAAAGACCAAAACCAAGTAATAAAAAGAGCAAAGAATCTGGATATACACATTACAGAAAAGAAAATCCAGGTGGTTAATACAGATATGAAGAGATGTTTAACCCTGCTAGTACCTAGGGAAACATAAGTTAAAATGAGACTGTCAGATGATAACAAGTACAGGAAAAGGTATGAAACAACAGGGATCTTCAGGCACTGCTGATGGGATTGTGAGCTGGTGCTGTTGCTATGAATACTAATATTATGGAGCTTTGTGGAATTAAAATATGACCCAGCTATTGCTCCCTGGAGTTTACTAAAACAAAAACCTCTTGCTTATGTCCACAGAAAACATGTATAAGGATGTTTATTGCTTTGTTATTTGAGAAGCAAACATTGGAGACACTGTAAGTGTCCAAACCTAGGAGGATATTTCAGAAAGTGTTATATGCACATCATGGAATACTATTCAGTCAGGAGTGATAACAAGTTGCACACTTACATATGTGGATAGATTTCCAAAGGAAAATAAAAACGAGCTTCACTCAACAGTGTCATTTGTGCCAATTAAAAACATACACAAACTATATATTTTTAAATATATATATAACATTTAATATATATTCACACATATGTAAAAATAAACGTAAGGCCAGTGGATGGTAATTTGGGGTGGACCCTCATTAGTCTGCTCTGCCTAGGTGCTTCCAGACCTTGGGCATGATCGTGGACTGGCCAGTACAGTGCAGCTGTGGATATAGCATGGCAAGGTAGCTCTACTGGCATAGTGAGAAATTGTGTCTGGAACCTGGACTTTAGATCCAGGTTCTGCTGAAAGCACTTAAGTAATTATCTTACAAGGTAATTATGCAAAAGTTTTGTGATGATGGTGCTGGAATATGAAGGACATTTTGCAATCTGGCAGGACCTTAAATACTGGCACATGGTCCAAACTTATTTTATGCCAAATGGATCATTTAATTCCAGGGAAAAGTTGTAATATTGCTCTATATATATTCTAATGCCAACCCCAACTGGTATACTGAAATTTATTTCTGGCATAAGTGACCCCGAGTTTGTACACACCCCACAAGTTGAAGGGCATGGTCCACAACAAGACTGTACTCACTCCAGACCAACTGGCTACAAATCCAGAGGCTACCCAGAAACCCTCTCGGGTTCAGTAATTCACTAGAATGTCTCATAGAACTCAGGAAAACACAGTACTTACAAATACAATTTTGTTATAAAGGATACAACTCAAGAATAGCCAATAAAAATACATATAGGGTGAGGTCTTGGGGGGCTCCCGAAGCAGAGTGGAATCAGGGCATGTCTCCTTCCTGACACATCAATATGTTCGCCAACTGGTAAGCACCACCGAAGTTTAGTATCCAGAGTTTCTATTGGGGTTCCACTACATAGGCACAATTGATTTAATCATTGGCTATGTAATTGAATTCAGTTTCCAGCCCCTCTCCCCAAAGGAGGGACTAGCTCAAAGTCTCAACCCTCTGATTACATGGTTGGTCTTTCTAGTGACCAGCCCCCATCCTAAGTTATCTCATCTCTAGCATAAACTCCGGTGTGATTCCAGGGGCTCATGAATAATAAAGAGAGTCTTATTACCTGGGAAATTCCAAAGACCTGATCTCTCCCAGGAACATAGGCCAGTCAAATTCTTTATTATTCATTAGCTTACAAACCAGAGAATAATATTGTTATTAAGTGGATGCCCAAACACATTTGACTGAACACAAGTTCCCATTCCAAGTTTTAGAACCATGTAAGATAATAGAAAATTAGTCCTAGAAAAGCCGTGAGGAGTAAGCCATTCGCCAACACTAATAAACTAGTTCAGCATATTTGCAAGTGAGCCTTGTTCCGAAACTTGCTCTTATTTGGGACTTAGAAACCCATTCTTACAGAGACAGTCTTACTCGATAATTATTAGTTCTCAGTCTAGTTTACAAATTTTAATAATAATAATGATGGCATTTATTGAGCTGGAAATCTGCTGTATACTATGTGTGTTATTCTAGAATGATAGGATAATGTTTGAAAAAATAGTGGGAGATGGGTAACCTAAGTCATAAGCAGCATTACAAGAGATTGTCAGTCATTAATAGAGTCTTAAAAATGAAAATCATTGCATTTCTGGAAAAATATGCTGAGAAAAAAAATGGCCTCAGCATTGTATTGAGAAATATGAGGAAGAATATATATGAAGACACTTAACATAGTTTGTAGCATTGAGCAATTGCTCAATAAATATTAAGAGAAAAACAAAAATTCATTCAAGGTGAGATTCGGTCTATAGTACCAAAGTAGATATAGAACTTAGCATAAAATAAGCATAAAACTAGAAAAAGTAATGCATTTGGCCCAGTTACTTAAAGGTGGTGAAAAGATAGAGCCGTATTTCAGTATGGAATCAAAGTCTAGGGCAGTAGAAATGAACCGTCTATAATGCACAGTTGTCTGTCAGGAAAGCGTGGCTCAGTAACTTTTTTTCTTAAAGTATTACTGATGGAACAAAATAAACAAAAAAACCCCACCTCATTTAAAAAACATTACAGATCACACAGAGACTACTTCAAGATAATGAAAAAAGAAAAAAGCTAATAGAATAATTCTAAAAAATTTGTATTTATTTACCTAATGTCTATGGATGATTTTATTTATTCACTTTGCAATCATTTATTCTGTGTCCAGGGTCAAGCATGATGCTGGGCAGAGAATATAAAATGAATCACATGGTTCGGTTCCTATGTGCATGGAAGTAACAGTCTAGGAGAAAACTATTTCTGTCACAAACTGGAAGCATAATACAGGCTTACCCTTCAATGTGTGGTTAAATGCGTTATGACGTTAAGTATTGTTAAAAAAAAAAGACAGCTGTTAGAAACTGTGTTTAAAGAATTTAATGAGATATGAAAATATATATAGCTTAGTGAAAAATAGGAGTTCACAGTAATGGAAAAATGCTGTTATCATGTATATAAATGGAAAGCCTCTTATCAAATATATAAATTCATTGTTGTTAATTTTTTTCTCTTAGAGCATAAGTATTTTATTAAACCTGTGATTTTTAAACTCACAGGGAATAGTAGTGAGCCAATGGTCATATGAAATTGTCCCGTCAGTGCCTTAGGTTCCTTACCTGTAAAATGAGAGAAATCCACATAGTCTCAGTTAACATTTAAGGCTCAGTTTAAAGATGTATACCCTGCATCCTCCCCTCTTGAAGAGGGTGATTAGGCTTAAGCTGAGCCCTTTTCTGAGGCTCTAAACATTTCTAGACATGTGCAATACAAAATAATAAATATATTTTCAAAAATTCTCATTGGAAATGTTGTTACTAGAGTTCCTAACCATTATTTATTCTCACTGCACAGGTTACCATTTCCCTACTGCTCCTCCAGTGGATCCATTTGCCAAAATCAAAGTGGATGACTGTGGAAAAACTAAGGGATGCTTTAGGTTGGTAGATCTGTGAGTTGGATAACTTTAAGACTAAGATGTTGATTTACTCCTCATGGTAATGTTGAAATTGCATCCAGTTCATTCTAATCTGGGGGTCTATACCCCTTCATAACCTCTGCACGAATGTGGCCTATTTCTGATGGCTACATCAGAAATAGGCTTTAAAGACCTTAAGCTCTAGCACACCGCTTGGCACTGGAACATTCTTCGCTGGTAGTTCGTTTTTGACTGTATTGCCATTGGCCCAGGTATCTACTCCTTACCAATTGTCTGTATGAAGAATAATTGCATGATGCTGAATATGTCCCTGCTTATTTGGCCGGGGTGTGGGCGGGACAGACAGTGGTAGACATATCTAATACTGAATTTTTTTTTTTCAAATAGTCATGACTTAGGGATAGCTGTATGATACTAACTGGTAGTCATTAAGCAGTGATTATTATATTTAGCTTATCTCAGATATAGTGAGTCCTTACATGATTATTAGTAATATTCTATCAAGACATGATGTTAAAAATCAATAGTGTAGACAGTGGGCCTCCCACATAGACAGCTCTGCTTTGATGGAAAAGCCTCCTTCTCTGAATTCTTTATTTCTTGAAACAAATTGTGCTTTGGTAAAGATTTTGTTGGCCACTGCACTCAAGTTCTGAATTTTTTTTTTTTTTTTTTGTTTTTTGGTTCAGTGCTCAAGGTCTTAGGGGGAAAAAACTGAATTTTAGGAGTTTTGAGCTTTCTTTTGATTGCAAGGCCATTTCTAAGGATTTTTAAAAAAAAATCAATAATACTAGTATTGAGGAAGGTGGCTAGCAATGAATAATTCTGGTAATTGGGGGATATTTTTGAGACAGGAAGGAAGTTTAGTGCCCTGCTGGCTTCAGGGTGACCTGTTTACTGGCCCAAGTACTCCTCCTTTAGCTTTTCTTAACCCTTTTCAGCTTTTTTACTCCAGTTCTTGTTGTCTTGGGCTTACATATCTTCTTGGCTGCCCAGAGTATCTGCCAGCTTCGTGGCATATTCCTTGCCTCCCTTCTTAATCAATACATAGCAGTTGTATCTTGTTTCTTCAGATACCTTCCATCTGAGTTTAGATTGTCCCACCCATTGCTACAATTTTTTGTCATTCTGAAAATGGTGTAAAACAGGGTTCCTCAAAGTAGGTCTTGTCAATTCTTCAAGGATCTACAAGTGCTCTGTAAGAACATTTAAATTTGTGTTTTCATTTCAGTGACGTTCCTTCAAAATATGAATGTATCCATAATCTGATTATCTGGAAAACCATCTTATACTGCACTATGCTTTAGTGTCTGAATTTGTGATTGTGTTAGCACCAAATAGCCCAATAGAGCAAAGGCAAATTTCATAAATAGATGATACAGTCATGCTCAGTGAATACCAGATGAGGTATTCATTTGGTGCATCATACATATGAGGGTTTTGCAGTAGTTCAGTAGATAAACGTGGAGGAGAGTGGAGTCATGTTTAGTATTCAGAACATGCTCATTTAAAGCCCCTGCACAATATAGTCAGACAAGCCACGTGCATATAAGCAGAATTTTACTTCCAGTAAAACTGTCATCTAGCACATGAATACTGTGAGTTTAAATGTTCCTGGTTTTGTAGTTTAATTTTTATTCAGTTCGTAAATCGGAGTTAGTTTAATTGCAAATTTGAAAGAAAAAAGAATTGGTATACATTTAATTAACAACAATAAATAATTAACTTGGAGAATTTTTTCCTGTAAAAGAGATTCAGAAATAATTCAGTGATAACTACTATTTGAAAGACTCTAAAATAGTGCAGAGAACACTGGCTGGGAGTTTGGAGGCCCACGTTCACGTCCTTCTGCAGCTACTGACTCACTATGCAACCTCGGGCAAGCCCCTTGCCATCTCTAGACCCCAGTTTATATTTAGATAAAGTGGAACGGGTCATCTTCAGATTCCCTACTGAATGAAACTGTGTTTTTGAGCCGCCAGGTAGCAAAGATCTAATTTATTCAATAATGTTGCTTAGCATCCTGCCTGATATATAGATGCTCTCAATGTATTTTGAATAAATAGATGGAGAAACAATAATGTCTGTTTTAATATCTCCTGTAGATATGGCAAGCCGGGCTGTAATGCAGAGACCTGTGACTACTTCCTTAGCTATAGGATGATAGGGGCTGATGTGGAATTTGAGCTGAGTGCAGACACAGATGGCTGGGTAGCAGTTGGATTCTCTTCAGACAGGAAAATGGTAAGATACACATCATGGTAGAAACAAATTTTTCTTTAGTGTGCTGTACAACTTTAGATTTTAGAGAACGGACATGGTTATGTTTCTCTAAGCTACCATGATACTTTTCAATGAGAAGCTAATTTCTGGCATTTGATGGTCTTTTGCAAAGCAAAGCAATTTATGAAAGCAGTATAATGATTATGTAAGTTATGACTCTCTGGTTGCAAGTTAAAAAAAAATCAAGCTAACTTAAACAGAGAAGGAAGAGTTGGTTATGAGAACACAATGTGTTTCGTGGTACCTGTATTTATCATCTATTCCCACAGTGATGCTGCAAGAAAAGCCTCCATAACTACATGGTTTATGACAGTAAGCATTTATTTCTTGCTCACATGTGTGTGAGTTATCTAGGGCTCAGCTGGGCTTGGCTTCAGTCCATGAGTTGGATTCAGGTTTTTTTCCTAATCATTCTGGAACCAGAGCCTATCTGAGTATGTTATTTTCATGGCAGAAGCAGAAGTGCAAGAACCATCCAAGCTTATCAGCCCTCCGCCTGCATCACATCTGCTACCATTTCATTGCCCAAAGTAAGTCACACAGCCAAGCCCAGTATGAAGGGGCAGGGATGTACAGTCCCCCCAAGAGGCCCTGCAACAGTGTGAGTGTGTAATACCACCACAGAGAAGTGAAGAATTGGGTCCTGTGATTCAGTCTTCCACAGTATCCATGGGCAAGAACACATCTGGACCTCAGAAAAAGACTGCGATCAGGAACAAGCAGGGCATCGGGAACCCAGGCAGCTGTCCATCTCCTACTCCTGCCTCTCTCTGTACCTCTGCTCAGATTTTGAAGGACATGCAGACAGGTTTTGCCAATGAATTGGGCATGGGTTGTAGGAAGGTGGTAGGAAGAGACTGAGAGAACAGTCCAAACAGACAGAGCTCCGGGGGCTTTGTTCTTGGACAGGTCATCACGAGACGAGCCTCCATCAATTCTCAGTCCAGGCAGTAGGAGAAACAGCAGGTGTGTGCCATGACCAGAAGCTGGCTTGCACCGCAGTTGACCGTCTCCTGCCCTGGGATGCATTGGTACTCATAGCCACAGCTATTAAGGTTAAGAGGCACAGAGAAGGGAGGTTGAGTGAGGAGCATTCAAATTTTATGTTTGACATTTTGCTACCTAGAATATAGATCTTTCTTTTCTTCTCCTATTATTCCAAGAAGCACAGGTAATTTTTTTTTTCAAAACCTGATGCATAGGAAAAGGAAAGCAAAATGGATCCCCTTTTAATAACCTTTAACTTTTCTTAAAAAATGTTGCCTTATTAATTTTTTATTAGACTTGATTTTTTTAGAGCAGTTTTTAGGTTCACAGCAAAAGTCAGTAGAAGGTACAGAAAATTTCCATATGCCCCCTGCCCCCTGACACATATGGCCCCCACCATTATGAACATTCCCCCACAGAGTGGTACATGTGTTATGATTGATGAACACCTTTGACTTTTTTGACTTGTTTTGAAAATTTTTTAAACCTACAGACAAACTGCAAGGATAGTACAACCTATATGCTTCACCTAGATTCACCAAATGATAACTATTTTACTGTGGTAAAATGTACACAGCATAAAATCCACCATTTTTACCATTTTAAAGTGTACAATTCAGTGGCATCAATTCACAGAGTGCAACCATCACCACTCTCTGGTTTCAGAACTTTTTTGTAAATGGTAACATTTTGCCACACATGCTTCATCTCTCTACTGCTACTACTTATTATCATGTTTATTATTTTCTGGAAACTTTGGAGATTAAATCAATTTATTCATTACATTCAGGAAGTTTAACATTGATCTGACACTATTATCCAATACACTCTCCATTTTCAAATATTTCCAGTTGTCCCAATACTATGCTTTATGAAAATTTCGGTTTTATGACCCAGGATTCTGTCTGGGAACACAATTAGCTGTTATGTATCTTTAGTCTTTTTTATTTTGAAATAGTTTCTTAATTTTTTTCATCTTTCATGACATTGCTCTTTTTGAAGGTTATAAGACAGATTTTTTTATAGAATGACCCTCAGTTTGGATTTGTCTGATTGCTTTTTCATGATTAGATCAGTTTATGGATTTTCTTTTAATTAATTTTTTTTCTGGTGACATTGGTTAACAAAATCCAGTAAGTTTCAGGTGTACAATTCAACAACAAGCATATATATAAAATCCAGTAAGTTTCAGGTGTACAATTCAACAACAGGCATATATATAATTATATTGTATTGTGTGTTCAGCACCCATAGTTAGATTTCTTTGTCACCACATATTTGACCCCTTTTACCCCGTGTACCTCTCTCCTCCTCCCTACCACATATTTGACCCCTTTTACCCCGTGTACCTCCCTCCTCCTCCCTCACTCCCTTCCCTCTGATAACCACTAGTCTATTGTCCATGGCCATGAGTCTCTGTTTGTCCTGTTTATTTGTTGCTCTTAGGTTGATATCCCATATTTAAGTGATATCATGTGGTTTTCAACTTTTTCTGACTTAGCATGATTATCTCAAGGTCCATCCACATTGTCATTTTTGATGAGACTACTAGATAGCTGGTAGTGTATTTTTCATGGAACATCATATCCAGAGGCACTTGCTATCAGCTGTCGTGAGGTTAACTTTGGTAACTTGGTTAAAGCTTTTTAACAGCATTTAAAATAATTTTTTGGGGGGGATGGGGTGGGATTTCAAATTACAGAGCTAATGGAATATACATTTCTAAGTGAAATTTCTTTCTAGCAGAAAAATTTGTGAAAGATGCACCTTTGACTTTTTTCTTTATCGTTTTTCACGTTAGGGTGGTGACGATGTCATGGCCTGTGTCCATGATGACAATGGCAGGGTCCGCATACAACACTTCTATAATGTAGGCCAGTGGGCAAAGGAGATTCAGAGAAATCCTGCCAGAGATGAAGAAGGAGTCTTTGAGAACAATCGAGTCACCTGCAGATTTAAACGCCCTGTGAACGTCCCCAGAGATGAAACAATTGTCGATCTGCATTTGAGTTGGTATTATCTGTTTGCTTGGGGTCCAGCCATTCAGGGTAAGCTTACGTTTTGACATCTGGCTTAAACACCAGACACCATTGTGCTTGTGTTCATTATTGATTGGGCAAGAAAATGATAAGCACTTTGGATAATATAAAAGAAAAAGATATGATCCTACCTTTAGAATGTTATATTGGACTTATTATACACATGGACATACAAATGGACAAGTTATACACATGCATAGCTAGAATAGTACAAGATAACATATGATGAGCTGAATGCTTAATGAAACAGATCATATGCCTGCTATATGTGTGATATGGGCTATATTTAATTTTTACTACATTCCCATTTACTTTTCACCCATCATTGAGAGGTATAGGTATTATTATCCTCATTTTAGAGAGATTAAGGAAATTGCTCAAGGCTATACTACTAATTAATGGGAGAACTAAAATTCAATTATAAATCTGTCTGACTCCAAAGTCAGTGAGTACTCTTAGGTCCTATGCTCTAAATATAAAAATACTGAGCATTTTGGAGACTTCTCTAGAGACTGACACCAAGAGTTTCATTAGTGCTCATTTTATGACTATTCTGGTGATCACAAATCCACCAAACTATCCTATAATTTAGCTCATTACTCCTCCAGTTTTAATGTGTACATGAATTGCCTGGATACATCATTAAAATGCAGTTTCAGTAAGTCTAGGGTGGGGCCCGAGGTTATGCATTACTAACAAGCTTCCTACTGATGCTGGTCCATTGATGACTTCACTTCAAGCAGCAAGGCTCTTCAGCATTTCCCCACCAAAGACCCAAGGATATCATGAGACCTTAGAGGCTGCTAAAATCAAGTTACACTATATCTTCAGCATTCCCTCAGGTTGATCAGCCTAATGGCCTGACCAAGAATGGAAGTAAGTTATTAACAATCCTTGTAGGAGAACTATTCTGGTTCCTGAGAGCTGCATCTTTCTTTACTGTATGCTTCTCAACTATCTAATTGCCTAATCTAATCTTTTTTGCTTTAAATTGTTTCCATTGATTGGTCTGGAGATTTAATATGTATATATATTTATTGCCTGTTTCTAATTGAGAAAATATTCGAATGCCTTAAGATTTGTGACATCTTCCCCATTTGCTTATTTCCCTGACTACCAACAGTCAATCTGCAATTATATCTTTTGAGTACTTTCAATACCCTGGGAAATAAATTATATCTCAGCTTGGAGAAATGAACTCATTTAAAACGATGAGATTTGATATCTAAAACTTTGAGTTTGTGCATTGGTTTTGCCCCTTGGTAGCTATATCTAGCCTTTAAATTCTGCATTCCAATTTCTTTTTATCTAAAATGGGAATAATAATGATAGTGACTTCATAGGATTATTATGTGGATTAAATGAAAACAAGTATCTAAGACTGCTTTCCAGTTGGAAAGTGTCGTGCTTCTTACATGTGTGGCATAATAGCCCGCTGTTCCAGGCCCTCTCCAAATAGGACCCTGCTTTGCCTGATAAAATTGCTCAGGACTTCTGTTCTTCTCAGTGTCTCCAAACAAAACAGGCACATTCCTATCCTGGTATAGAGGCTGGCACTTCTCCTGTTTTTTTAGTGCCTTTCCAACACCTCTCTGTTGATCAAAACTCTTCATCTCCTTAAGGTCTCTCAGAGGAGATAAGCTTTGAGCCAAGGTGAAGGAGGGTATGGATTAGGTTTTCCTCGAGGAAGGCATGCATGAACTAGAGGTGCTTGGGTAAGCCTAGGAATCTATGTAGGTGACCAACGAGTGAGGTTAGGTAGGAGAGGTGAGTGGGATCTATTGAGAGAAAAATCTTTGTGCCAACCTAAGGAGTTTGATTTATGCTAACAGGAGCCAGCATAGACGCCGGAGCAGGGAAGTGACACATCAAGTTCAGCATGGCTTCCTGAGCAGACAGGACCTTAACAACCATCACTCTGAGCTTATTTCCAAGGAGACCTTTGCTCTGATTTCATCTGCCTTATTCTCCCTAACCCAAGTTTCATATAGATTATACCCATATGGATATTCATATGGATCAGGAGGTCAGGCACCTCTAATCAATGTCAACTTATTAAGTATCCTTTACACATAGCCTTTCCTTCTTCCCACTTCTAACCAGGTCAAAAAAAGTATCCTGCCTAAATATTTATTTGGTATCTTAATCTTCCTACTTTTTGCACCGTTTCATCCCACTGTGCCAGAAAGAGATACACACACACACACACACCCATGCTCTCTGGTTTGGCCTGGGTGAGCTACCTCTTTATGTCCCACAGACAATGAGAAAGAGGTTTCCATCTGTAAGGGAGTCTAGTGTGGTCAGGAGTTGTTAATAATCCATATATAAAATGCATATTTGAGAAAAAATATAAGTAGCTCTTGCTCTTTGAAATTGAAATATAGTTTTCCATTTGGCATTAATAAGATAAAACTCAGTAGAGACCTTAAAAGCAGATATTCATTCAATAGTAAGTAGCAGTCTTAAAACTGGGGTGCCATGGAGAGACTAATCGCATTGTTTTGGTAGGAAGTATGCATATTTGTGAGAACCAGTCTTTTTGGATAAATCTAACTAATTTCTATCTTCTCCGTTATATGTACAGTTATAGGGAATTCTGATAACTCTAATACATGATTTCCAGATATAATCACTACTTATGTATTCTGAACTAAAGGCTTTACTTTTTATGCTGTTTGTATATATCATTTTAAATCTGTGCTGTTTTTGATTGCCCCTTTTTATTTCTTAAAGGGTCTATCACGCGACACGATATAGACTCACCACCAGCATCAGAGCGTGTTGTCAGTATTTACAAGTATGAAGACATTTTTATGCCATCAGCTGCCTATCAGACCTTCTCCTCTCCGTTTTGTTTGCTTCTCATTGTTGCCCTGACCTTCTACTTATTGATGGGAACCCCTTAATTACAGCTGCAAAGCCAACACATTAAATGGATTAGAAAATCTTTAGCATATATTTTTAAAGACTATGCAGTCTAATTTTAGCTTCTGTTGTTTAAAAAAAAAAATACTCATGATTTCAGCTTTTCGGAAGAACAAGCAAGCTTCTTTTCTAATCAAAGTGGATAGTTTAATAATGACCCCATACCTCTGGAAAGTACTTAAAACTTTTCTAAGCACTTTCAAATAAGTTTTCTTATTTGAGCTTCACATCTCTGAGTTGGCTTGATGAAAATTATTGTTGCTGTCTTACTGAATAGGACTTGAGACCCAGGAAGGCTGCCTTTTTGTGACCCACATGCCATGTAGTCATGGCTACTTGTCACTTAACACAGAGCAAGGTAGAAAAAAGAGCAAGGCACAGAAATCATGTCTCTAAACAGCCTTTACTTTTCCAACTATAGCTCGGGAGACTTACTTGGAATATTACAAAAGAGAACTTCTCTGGATGGCCCTAGCTCAAAGTCAGCCTTTCGGGCACATTTCCATAAAGCTTAAATGCTTTTGAGTACTTTACACAGCTGATGGGGAAAATGGAGGAGGTTAAAGAGATGAAATGGTTCATATTTATTTGAAACTTCCTCTCGATTAGTGAATAGCTTATGAGAAAACATTTTTTATTGTTGTTAGAAAGATTAGAAACAGCTGAGTGTTCCTGAAGATGTAAAATTATGTTAATAATAAAAATGTGGGCATTCTTAGCAATTAGAATTTGGACCCTTCTACCACTGTATTTTATAAATTAAGGTATTCATCTGTGGTTACAGCTAATTTTCTTGTCAGAGTCAGCATATATTGTGATTAAATACGTAATATAATATTCAAATCATCTTAATAAAAATTTAAGGCATTTTGATAATAAATCGACATTTTTGGAGATTGTGGAAATTTGGAGTAGAAATGTTTTACGGATGAGATTTTTTTTTTTTTAATTAGAAAATGGAAAATGACCCGTAAATTGAATTCAGCTAGATTATCCATTCAGACTTGTTCAGACTTGTAAATTGGATTGGCAGTCAGCATAATTTATAATAATACTTTGACTTAATGCATTTCTTTTTTTTCAAAGAAACCCTAAGTTTCCTTTGTTCCAAATGTCTGTGTTAATAGCCCATTTAGAAGATGAGAATCTAAGGAGATGATTATTTTGCTGAGGCATTTCCATTGTAGAGGTCTGGAGTCCTGTGGCTTGCCTGGCTGTCCCCCCCTCCCCCCCCCCCCCACCAATTCCTTTAAAGCCGGGTCCAACTTTATGGGTTGTCTTTTTTTTTTTTTTTATTAAATAACACTGGAGACTGTGATTTCTAATGCCATCCTTGGAATTCATGTCAAAGGTGAAAGTCCAGCTATGGAGAGAACTTTCCAGATTCTTCTGGAACTGAACAAAAATAAGGAAAACACTGAGATTCTGCAACATCGCACAGTTCGCCAAGCACGTCTGAGGGACTTAGGAGAAATAATCTTCATTGCAGATGGAGGGAAGTCAGATGACGTCAGCCGAGCAATGGAACTGGGTAGGATTCAAACTCAAGACATCTGGTTCAAGTCCTTGGTCCCACCTACCATCTGCTCATAACTAAACCCTCTTCGGTTGTGGCTGAGGATGGCCTGTGCATCACGTTCTAAGCTGTAGTGGTTGTTTAGTAGTGAAGATACTAAATATGCAGTCTCCCACATTGTAAATAAGAAAGAAAATATTTTTATTTTTTTATTATAAGAAAGAAAATATTTCATTCTCTTGTGTGTATAATATTTCAGCTATAAATAGGTTAAAACTAAAGGGACACTTCAGCTAGTCTCTGTAGCTGGCAGGGAGGGGATAAATTAATGGATTTTCCTTCTACTTACATTTCAAGTCAAGAAATTACTTCAGGAATTGTTTCTACTTTGATTACCAGTTTTGCATACTTGTGCTTAGAACTTTCAATGATTTCTCACTGCCATTAGTGTAAAATGCAAACACTTTGATTACTTCCAATATCATCTTTTGTCACCACCCCTCACTGGGTATGACTTAGCAAGACTGAACTGCTCTCATTTCTTCAGACCTGCTATCTCACCTCTCATGTTCCCTGTGCCCAAACATTTTTCACGTCCTGTGAAAGCATTTCTTCCTCCAACCCCCTGGACTAGGTGGGTTTAGATCCCTGCCAAACGCTTCCATAGCACCCTGGGCTCCCCCATATGTGCTTTCCCATCCATACATTACTGTAATTGCTGGCTCATCCTCCCTGCTAACTCCCTAATGCAGGGACCATTTCTTGTAACTCATCGTTGTAACAGATACTACTGCATAGTAGATACTCAGCAAACATTTGTTGAATGAATAAATAAATGAAACTGTACTTCTTTGGCAAGTTTGGTTCAGAAGACTTGTATTTCATAGACACTGTCAGACTGGTCAACGCTTTTACATTCTTCCACCTGTAATTGAAGTGTAAATCATCTCTTTAGCAAACACTGAATTTGTCTTTTGAAATGTAAATAGGAAGATCATTAGTAACAACTGCTGTTTTGCCCGACAAAACATAGTTGACATTTTTAATAGTAATCATTGTTCAGAAATAAGAATCTACAGACCAAGGATGCAGAACAGCTTTTAACCATTGTCTGGGAGAATCATCAATTTATAGATATACTGAAGTTAAAACTCTGTAGACTCCAATTTCATTCATTCTTACCTAATATAAGAGAATCAACTTCTATTTTATCTCTGTATTCCATTTTCTAACATAGTTCTTGTTACAGGGGAAATACCTAACCAGTGTCTTTTTGTAAATGGCTGGAGTTGAACAATAATGCCTGCTATATGTAATTAGTGCTGTTGTAAGCACTGTACATGGATTAACTCATTTAATCCTCACAACAACATAGGAAGTAGATTCTATTACTAATCCAATTTTACAGTTGAAAAAACAGACTAGTTACTTGGCGTAAATGACCAGTGCTGGCAAGGACTTTAGAGACCATTTACTCCAGTGCACTTAGTTTGTAAAAGGGCAGCTGAGGCCTAGGGAGGTGATATGATTTCCTACACATTCATGTCTTCATCCACATTCATTAAAGCTTGTATTAAACGGAACCCACTATCCACACTCAAATTAACCAGGTGATTCCTTTTTTCCCCTTTAGTAATTTACAATGAAAAAGAGGACTCTTTATAGTTTCATTTGGGGAAAGGGGCACATTTTACTTTCTATCAGCCAATCATTTTAGTGCTTTTAATGGTTAAAAAAAAATAATACTACCACTGAGGTTGTGTGTCATTCCTAGCTCTAGCCTAGTGGTCAGCAAATTTTTTATAGAAAGGGCCAGATGGTAGATATTTTTGGCTTCGTGGTCTCTATTTCAGCCGTTCAACTCTGTCATAGATAACAGTAAACCAATAAGCATGGCCGTGTTCCAATAAAACTTGATTGACATTGAAATTAGAATTTCATCTAATTTTTACATGTCACAAATATTCTTCTTTAGATTAATCAAAACATTTAAACATCTAAAAAAATATTCTTAGCTTGTGGGCCTTACAGAAATAGGTGGCAGGTTGGATATGGCCTGTGGGCGACAGTTTTCCCACACTTGCTCTCAACTAAGAGATACATCTATGTGTTGTGATCAGTTGTAAAGTACACTACCAGTAATGTATTACTGGTTAATTGTAAAAATATTGAAGTTAGTGAATAATTTGTTTAAATAAATTATGGTTGACTTATTGTCTCAATGATGGCATTCCCATGCACTTCCGCTCTAATCTGTTGTTCAGAACTGGGGCAAAAGAGATGGCAGTTAAGTCAGAGCTGAGTAAGCAGCAATTTTGTTTTACCTTAACTGGCAGTCATGAATGACATTTACTGTTGCATTGCTCTTCCTGGTGGGGATTACAATGTTTCAGAGTAATATATTTCCCTGTAGACAGTTTTTCTTAAAGTTTTATCAAAATTCGCTATACCCACAGGAATATTTTACTCATGTGACGATGGCATCTACCTTGTATATCATAATGGAAAAATGTTTGAGAACCACTTCTATAGGTCAGATGCTGAGATGTACATACTTTGTTGTACATAATTGTATGTCTTCGTTCTCTAAACATATCATAATGGAAAAATGTTTGAGAACCACTTCTATTGGTCAGATGTACATACTTTGTTGTATATAATTGTATGTCTTCGTTCTCTAAACTGAATGGGTTATATTTAGTGAACAGTTTGATTATTCTCGGTGTTTGTATACATATTTGTAAATACACAATGAGGCCTACATATACACTCCATGACCATTTTATTTGATGGTCTTTGCCAAGATTGTTTCTGTTTCCGATCTCTTTAAAAGCCCAAGAGATAAAACATTGTGTGTATTACAGGCAAAACTACCCTTGAGTTTCTAGTAATTTAGTTTGTAGAAAGGATTCCTGGATCCTTTTTTAAGCCTTGCCTCCTCCATTTAACATTATATGAGTTGTTAAGAATGTGTAATATATCATTGTTGAGTTTAACTTTTCTATATCGTTAGTTAAACAACCAAGACTAGTGTTAACTGAGTATATGGCATGTTGATGCAAACCATACACATTTTGTATTTAATTAGATTATTTATTTAGTTATTCAATTATTTAGTTTCAAGTTGGACTTCTTTGTTTTTATACTTAATAGATGACTGTAAGTTTCTTTTCATGAAAAATCGTGGCTATGCTAATTTTAAATAAGACTGAAAATTTAAGTGAATCATCCACCTCTGTGGGATTTTTCACTTAAACATACTGATATTTGACTAACGCTTTCGGTTTCCAACCCCCTGGATATTTGGTATTAGGCAAATAGCTGTTGAGTTCCATTCTTCTGGAGAGTAAGCGATTCTCTCGGATTACGGGGTGCTGCAGGAGTTACGGCATTCACCCAGGTCACTAGAGCAGTTACCATTTCATCACACAGAATGTCCTGGCCACCAGGAAGAGTAAATGCAGCTTTTCCATATGCCTTATTCCCACAGATGCGCTGATATGCTGGAACAATCTGGCTCCAGGAGTATGAATATACTTTTTTGAGATTATCTATAAAATACTATTTTGTAAAAACTATGCCTTTAAATGGACATTGATGGGTTATATTTGTTTTATAATAATTGTGTACCTAATGTTCAATCGTGATTGATTTTGAGATTTATGTATATTTATAAGCCTATCTCATGTGAATTTTTACTCTAAGATGTGTGCTCCCTTACTAATAAAGACATGCATTTCTATTTACGTAAAGTAATTGTAGCAATATTCCTAGAAGCTACCTAAATCATTGTTCTGTCCATTTGCCATCACAAATACTTTATCCTTAGAGGATTATGTTACAGTTAGAATACATTAACTAGTTTAAACTTTAAAATATAAATTCTCAACATGGTTTAAAATTCTTCCTGTTGATATAATTAAAGTTAGTTTATAATTCCTTATTGCTTTGCTTTGGTGTATTTTTGGTTTTCTATTTGTTTTACATCCTTTTATTAGTAAAGTCTCCTTGAAGTTATAGACCTTGAAAGATGACAATCTCTTCTTTGACAAAGGAAAATCATGTGGCAGTAATAAGGTAAAATCCTTATAGAGAAACAGTTTGCAAAATAAATCTGTTTTTATAACTTCAGCTTAATACCTTTATCAAATTGTAAATGGAGGCCTATAATAATCCCATTTAAAGTGTATTACTTGGTTAATAGTGCCTAACTAAGTCTAAGAACTTAGTTATAAGAACTTCTATTATGAGCCTTATTGGTAACTAAATCATATTATATATCAAGAATAGTTAGAGTTTAGTTGTAGAGCTTTATGAATCATTAAGGAAATATGGAAACTACAGGATGTAGTAGCTGAGCTGCTGGTGCTCCTGGGGCTAAGTTGAGAAACTCAAGGAATGTCATGTTACGAAATAATTAGGCATTTTCACATTCTGCATTACAGACTCTAATTCTCACCGCCCCCCCAACCCCCGCAAAAAAACCAAGTATTTATTGTGTTTTGGTATTTTAGGTTTCCCTGTGGTATTTATTTTGCAGTGTTCTCCGTGGGGAGCCCAGCTGTCAGACTTGCCCCTGGTTGATGTTTGATTTGGAAATTTCTTAGGCCTCAGTCCCAGGTGCAAGGGCCAGGGGGTAAGCTGTAAGAAGAGACGGCTGAAGTGGAGCGGACATAAAAGTCTCCGGCATCCAGAAGCTTTAACCACTTGTTCATTCATTCCATAAATATTTATTGAGGACTCTTATGTGCCGATCCCTATGCTAGACACTGCACAAGAAGACTTCAGAAAGAACAGCCCTTGATTTCTGCCCCTAAGAGGCTCACAGCCTTGTTAGGGAGTCAGATACCATGGTGATCCCTTTCAGTGACAGCAGTGGTAAGGAAATGCTCAGGTGTGGTGCAAATCTGGAATAGGGGCCCTCATCCAGCTTGGGACAGCCAGGAGGGCAGGAGGTGGTAGTGAAGCTGAAACTTAAGGAAGAGCCGAGTGCAGCCCCAGAAGAAAGATCACCATGGTGTGTTGAGGAACCATTGTGATTTGACAAGAATTGTCACAGTTTCCTATTGCTGCTGTAACAAATTAACAAATTGATGGCTTAGAACAACAGAAATGTATTCTCTTGCAGTTCCAGAGGCCAGAAGTCTGAACTGAATCTTGTGGAACTAAAATCAAGATATTGGCAGGGCTATTTTCTTCTGGAAACTCCAGGAAAGAGGACCTTTCCTTGCCCCTTCCAGCTTCTGGAACCTGTGGGTATTCTTTCTTTGGCTCATGGCTTCATCATTCTAGTGTCTGCCTCTGTGGTCAGATGGCTTCTCCTCTTATATAGTCTAATCTCCCTCTCTCCCTCTGATAAAGATACTTTGTGATTATATTAGGGCCCCACTCATATAATCCAGGATAATCTCCCTATCTCAAAATCCTTAACTTAATCTTATCTGCAAAGTGCCTGTTACTATGTAAATTGACAGGTTTTGGGGATTGGGACCTGGATATCTTTGAGAGCCACATTGCTGGGTGGGGTAATGGGAGTGGGGACAGGTGAGGCAGGTCCATCACCTTGAACCTTGGAAGTCTTAATAGAGCTTGGACACCTTCCCACAAGATAAGGAGGCTTCGAAGAGATCAAATTATATTTTATAAAGATCACATTGGCTGCAATGTAGAGAATTAATTGGAAGGAGCAAAAGGGCAGACAGACCAGCTAGAGGCTGCAGCGACATCAATATCGTGACAAGAGTATACAAAAAGGTGACACTTAGGATTCAAAACCAGCCAGACTTGGTTCCCAAATGAAGACAGTTCATATAAATAAAGAGGGATTAGTCTGGGCAATTTGAAATGCATCCCCCATCTTCCGGTTTTCTGTCTTGCTCAGATTTGCAGTAGAAGGCTGGCTGTTGGATGGCCTCAGCCTTAGTTGGAGTATATTGTTTGGAGTAGAGCCAAGGAAGGGACAGGCTGGGAATTCCAAATCCTGATCCATAACTCAAATTTCAACCATTCCAGATAAAATGTTTCAGTTAAAATCACTTCTGGGAAGACGAAGAGCCAGCCACTTTTCAGACCAGCAATTCTGGCTTCCAGCAATAATTGTGAAACACGAAATTTACCTTGCAGATGCCCATTTTCTCTATCAACCTTCTCCTCACCATAGAAGAGAAAGGGAGAGTTACTTTGGTTGCAGACTTTTTTAAAAAGTATGGTTTGTTTGTTTTTTTCCCCCCTCAAAGATCTTCCCAAGCTTTTTTTTTTTTTTTTTTTTTATTCATCTTGCCCTTTCCTGGGTGCATGGGTCTTAAACTGGGTTGGTTGAATCAACTGATAAGCTTTTCATCGACTTTTTTACAGACTGATAAAATTGTCTTTGTCAACATGGCATGGAAGGTTAGCTGCCGCTGGATAGCACAGTCGAAAGGATGGGAACCCAGACTAGAAAGACAGGAACCTGGAGGCAGGAAAGGCTATACTCCACTCAGTGAACTGGCAGGACCTGTGCTGAGAGTGAGGTCATATATCCAGCATGAGAAGAGGAGAGAGAAGGGGGAATAATTAGGGAGTTTGGCAGGGCCTGATTGTATCAGGCTTGTTTGAATCATTTATTCTCAACCATTGAGATTTTTTTTTTAATCTCATAGTTACTTATCACACACACACTGTTTTCTTCTAAACCAGTTATCTACATTTTGAGTCTGCCAGTTTTATCTAGTATCAGATACTCAATGGTTAGTTACAGTAGTGAAAGCAAATACATGTCATCTTGTGTACCTACTTTGTTCAGTGAGTAGTGGCTCCCTAGAACGTCCCACTGAGAAGGATTTTGAAGCTGCGTCTAGGCTCAGTGGGAAGTATTTCAGTGGTTGATTAGCAATGTCTGCCATAAACTTTGCTAAAAAGTGGTAACTCATATTTGAAATCTGAATGCATGTCTGAGTACATTTTCACATGGTCTCTCCTCCAGCACTGTGCGTACCACTTTCTACATAAGGTACACACTCCATTGTAAGCACTGGACTTTGTACAAAGCGGGTGTTTAGGACAACTCAGTAAACGTTTATGGAGACACATGGAGGAATCTACAGAAGATACAATGCCTTGAAGAACCTTCTCCCTACCTGTGTTTGTTTTTATCTCTGGGGCTGTTATCTTGATACCTTGAGAGTCTGTGGACATTAATTGTTGTTTAAGAGATGCCTCTTGGCTTCTCTAGGACAAAGTGAAGAGTCACCCTGATAGCTACTAGCAGATTCTCACCATGTCTCAGGCACTGTGCTGCTGCTACTGTAGACACAGTCTCTCATCCCATCCTCACAGCAACCAATGATGTAGGTATTATTATTTTGTAAGCTAGAAAGCCATCTGTTGCAAGAAATGTAAAATCCAACTGAAACTGGGTTAAACAATTAGGAAGTTCATTGGTTCAGGAGGGCCAAAGGCAGTGTGGTTCCAGGGCCAGCTTGATCCACTCCTCTGAATGTATTTTACCTTCACTGTACCCTGGATAATTATGGAGTCTGTTCTTCCCCGAGGTCATTGGAGTGAGTTGTTGTGTGAGGCCAACAACCCAAGTAGCCTTGTATTTTAGAGGAGCTGCCTAAAAGCACATGCCCTGTGAGGTAGAGATTTGAGAGAACTGCATGTGCTCTTCTCAAATTTTTTGCAGGCCCTATATCCTACTATTTTGATTTTTCTCTTTCAACTATAAAGAATACCTAGAAGAAACATCCCTAGGGGTTCAACACTATTTCTCACACAAGAAGTACAAACATTTTTTTTAAAAAGGACATCATTCATTTATTCACATGCTCAGCAAACACTTACTGAGCTTCTTACCTGTATGGTAAATGTCTTATGCGGTGCCAAGTGCTGAGGAAACAGAAATGACTTAAACCCATGAAAACCACTGACATTGACTGCAGTGTTGGTGAATGCAATTATAGAAGGATGAGCAAAATCCTGTGGGAACCCAGCCTTGTGTTAGGCCATATAAATGGTGTAAGTTTCCAGTGCCTCAAACTTCATTTCTGTTAGAGTTCCATTCATGACTAGAAATTCTATCGGAAACCTGTCAGTTCTATTGGTTTGGCCATTATAACAATTTTGAAGTGGTCAGCAATTTTGCCTTTCATTGAGACTTGGAAGCAGAGCACTATGACGGGGCATTTTTGATTTGCTGAGCTGGGGTCCCAACACAGTTTAAGCAACATTACCCTACCCCTCGTGTCCAATGCATACATACGTCAGTTTCTGTTTGCATCCATTGATAGTTGCTTTTGTTATGCAACATGAGATCTTTTGTAACTGGTTGGAGGACAGAAGGGATGGTTTGGTCTTTGCTCCCTCACTGCCCCTTTGGATGGTTTTTGAGCCCCTGTGGTTAGAGGACTGAAGGTCAGACATGGAAGAAACTCTTTGTGAGAGGAAATATAATACATTGGGCACAGTGACCTAGTTTACAGGTTGGGTGACAAAAGGGCACAGAGTCTTCAAGTCAAGGAGAAGGACTTCTTTCCCATCTCTGAGTGGAACCTAGCTCTGCTTTGGTACCCTGAGGATTAGAAGTTTGGAAGTATCCAGGGTCTGGAAATAGTGACACAGGCTCTGGCCATCTTATGATGGGCACTGAACTCAGTGAGCTACGTGGGCAGCAGGGTGGACATAGGGTGGTTGGTGGTTGACTCATGTCTCTGGGTATATGTGAGGCATCCCTTTGGGATTCCCCGGAAATCACCAAGGACTTTTGGGGAGGGGACTGAGGCATTGTTTTTCTATAAATGGGAGCTTGAGTCAGTGTAAAATGGATACTAAAAGCAAATGTGACCATAACTTGTAACCGTAACCTCAGCAGGCCCAGACAAAGTAGTTAAGAAGCAAAGCAAAATGCAGGACTACTGAAGCAAAATATTAACAGAGTCAGAGTTCAAAGACCATTTGAAAATCAAACTGATCTGAAACCCAAACATGAGATGGAAAGGGATTATTATTTTTTTTAACTTTAAGACTTATTGAAAACAGAAAAGGGATAACTTGCAGGGTTTTGAAGCACTCATATATTGAGTACTCAGTAAAAACCTTTCTAAAAAACAAAAAAGCTGTTTGAGATGTTTCATTAGCAGGCTTGTGTCTTAAGACCTTCCCAACAGAACAAAAGCACCTTGCGCTGTCCCAGAGCTGCTTTTTCTCTTCTGAGACAAGAGCTTCTATTATTATAATTCCCATGTGACAGAGAGGAAATCGGGGTTGGGAGCTTAATTGACCTGACCCAAGGTCTCAGAAACAAAACAAAACACCTGGGGTCGTTTGAGACTCTGATTTAGAGCTTTTTCAAGAGTTGCTCCCATGCTGACACCTACACGGATGATTGTCAACCAGTAGCTACACTTTACAGTCCTCTGAAGAGCTTTAAAAATATGCCGAAGGATCCCTGTCAGACCAATTCACATAGTAGGCAAGAGAACAGATTTAGGAGGCAGACTTCGAGTTCGAATCCTTATACTGCCACTTACTAACTGTGTGATCTTGGCGAGGTACTTGTCTGTGCCTCACTGTTCCTCTTTGTAAAGTGAAGTTAAAAACACCATCTTCTTTGTAGAGTTGTTCTAAGGATTATGTGTGTTACTAGGAACGAGGCCCTTAGAACAGGGCCTGCCATATGATAATCGCTGTTTAAAATCCTGCCAAATATACCAGGGCAAATACTCTTAAGTGTTTATTAATTAAATCAATAAAATAGAATATGGGGATTGGTCTTTTATAAGTACTCCCCTTCAAGATTCTAATGTGCAGCCTGGGTTTGCAATCTGTGAATGTGTCTCTTTTGGGACTCTGCCACCGGAAAAGTTGACATTAACCAATTGGTGAAGGGAGTCTTTCCCCCCTCATAGGATTTTGAGCCCAGAAACCTGTTACTTGGATCCTGCGGGGACCAATGGGCGAAAGGAGCCCGGGAGCGAAAGGATTCGCCCTATACTCTCTGGGAGTGGTAGTTTGCTAAAGGTTCCGTAAGCGCTCGGTGGCCATCGAGAAACTACAACTCCCACAACGCCGCGCAACGCCCACCCTGCCACTGGCCGATGGCTTCCCAGTACCGCCTCTCGGAGGCGGCGGGGCGGCAGCAGAGGCGCCATGG